CGATCAAAAGCCATAAAACGTGTACAGTTTTCGAGTTCGTGGTTGAGGCTTTAACTGGGTATAACTGTTCCATTTATTTCCAGAAATCTTCCCACCACCGCTTCTGGTTCCCTTCGTCTAATTCGAGGGAGTTGAGGTCAAACGGAAAACAATTTTCACATCACCTCATCGGGACACCAGATATCTCTGAGAACAATCAAGAAACAGGCAAAACTTTAGGTCAGGGAGCCTTTTCCACCGTTTATAAGGACATTGGACAAACTGAGTGTAACGCTAAAATAATCCAGCAAACCACTTCACCAAATGTTCCTTTAACTACTGAATAGTGGAATTACTTAAATTAGCAACATTATTATTTTATTTGTCTTTTACTGATTCTCGGGGAAATTGTTCACGTTGTTTTAATCGATCCTCCATGTGCCACATCCTGTCTTAGGCGGTTCGGTATAGGTGGTTGTTGACTCCGCTAATCATGTCTGACGGTTGTTACAATTGTGGTCGTACTGGGCACTTTGCTCGCGAATGTAGAATGGGAAGCTCTGGTGGACGTGGTGGTGGCAGCGGAGGTGGAGGTGGCGGTGGATTCCGTGGCGGTCGATCGGGACGATCAGGTGAGTAAAAGAATTTTCCCGCAGACATTGATCGCGAAATGTTTTCTTTTATTTTGAGCTCGCTTTCAATGCGATTACTCGTATTATTTCAGATACATGCTACACTTGCGGACAGCCCGGACACATTGCCCGTGATTGTACAAGTGAACGCAGCGGTGGCGGAAGCGGTGGATATGGTGGTGGCCGGGGTGAGTTTTCATGCATCAAATCGCAGTAAGGTTAGAGTAGGTTATTTTTTGCTATCGCATTTGTTAGGTTAGTGGTACTGGTTTCTGGATTCTTTGACTGACGAGCTTCTCAGTATACGAGTGGCGTGTGATCGGTGTTTCTTTGTCTTGCAGGCGCATGTTATAACTGTGGTGGAACCGGACATCTCGCTCGTGATTGCACGAGTTCACAGCGCGGTGGTAGTTATGGTGGTGGTGGCGGTGGTCGCGGATGCTACAACTGCGGCGATACTGGTCATGTGGCACGTAGCTGCCCCAGTCAGAGAAATGGAACAAGTTCTGTTCAGTGTTACAGGTACAGCGGTCGATGTGTTTCTTGATGTTTCGGTTTAGGTGTCACCAGTATGGTCACTTCGCACGAGATTGTACGGAGAGTGCGGCGGCAGCAGAAGCCTAGGGAGACTGCTCGGTGTCAACAATCGTCTCCTCCTACGTTCTCAAAATGTGTTCTCGCATAAAAAACCGTGGATTGCACATGCGGGGTCTCGTCCTGGATCCTAACATTTATTAATTATATATTGCCCGATAATTGTTGGCGTGTTCTGTGATGGCTTTGGGGTGATTTCGAGTGGCGGACTTGTGTTTTGTTTCCGAATTAGGAGGCCAATATAGGTGGTCGCACACCACGAGACTTACGGTGCAGATGCAATTGGATGGAGTGGTAGCATGGCGTCTGATGCTCGGTTTGAAGCAACCAGTACATGTTGTGAATGAGCAGGGAACTCGTGAGTCCGTCATTATTGGAATTGTAATGACAGCTCACTGAATCTGCGCCGATTGTGTTGGGCGGTTGGATGCTGCAGATTTTACCATTTTGTGCATACCAATCATCCGTTGCTCAATGACCAAGTTGGTATAACCAGGCAGGAATGCGGTGTCGTGAGCTACCCACTTGACTACGCATCGTATAAGGGAGTGAAAGGCGCTTGAAGTTGTCTGCGGTTTTGAATGTAGCTGTAACGTGCAAGTGAACTCATCGTTTACCGATCACGAGCAATTCCTGGGATGTTCATATGAATTATAAGGAGTGATGCTTATATAGCACTCCGAGACGGGGTTTGTTCGAAAATGGTCACAGGTGGGTGGCATGTTGATTTGTTTGATGAATTCGGGCTTACCAAACGTAAAGAGATTTGATTCTTTCGGACCAAATGTTTTACTGTTTCTCTGGTTGTGCTAACTGTGTAAAACTGTAAGCTTCAGAGTGAAGGACGAGATGTTAGCTGAAATGCCCAGCGCGACGTGAGCTGCTGGAAAATGGTGTGATTTGCAACTCAGCCTTGTCTACCGCGAAGCATTGTTGGTCGCGTGGGAGCGTATGCGTGCTGCAAGCCGCTGAACGTCCGTTGGTTTCGTGATCCACCGATGGCGGAGGTGAGAACTTTTTCGAGTGATTTGAAGTGTCGCGCGAGTTGTCTATGAAGCCGTAAATTTCTCAGTCGTCACCTGGTCGTGGTTTCACACTGTTGGCAACAAATGGCCCATTATGATTTGTTGTTGATGTTCGCGAATTGAGGGGCTCCTTGGTGTTTGTGCTCAAACGTTTGATGTTTCATTGGAATGTTAGGTCGATAATCACTTTTTTGTTTCGTAATACAACTGTGCTTAGGGAATCTTTTGGAAGGAGTTATCAGCTGTCATGTTTTACCCCTTTTCCGTAAGGAGCAGCTAGGGTGCCAGATTCGGATGCTTCTCCTCACAGTATTGGGAGTCAATACTCGTAATAAGCTTTCTGATCGTGAAGAACATTAGGCGGCATGATTTAACCATCAAACTGAGTAGCGTCATGTTTGTGCTGAGCGTTCACGGGGGACAGATGAACTTGAGTGAATAGACTTCAGCCTATAGATGAGTATCTGAAGAACATGGCGTCTCTCGAACTGCACTAATGGGACGTGCAAGTTCTTGACGTGGCATCCCTTGAACTATCCGCGTTTTCGGTGCTTATATGCATGGTCCTTCACTAGATCCCATCTGGATGGTGAGCTACGCATGGCGTAACGTTTCAACAAACTGAATCTGCACAAGATTCTCTCGAGTGCGGTCCCACTGACTGAGCTCAATGAGATTACTGTCTAAGGAATGTATGCTGGCTAAAGTGCTTGATGCAGTTTATTTCACCGAATATTGTTGTCGTAATACAGTTCAGCGGAGGTTGATTAGGTGACGGTCGTGGTGCCAAATCCTGGCGAATGACCCTCCGATTGGGCAGCTTTTATTAGTGATATCATGTCAGGCTGCATATGGAGCCCCCTTTTCATATAGGATTTATTTATTGCTTGAACTAATGCGACTAACCCATGAAATCCCTCATTAATCGATCATGAGGGAAGGTTGGATGGTCTTGTCTTCGGGTGACTTCACTGTCAATGACCAACAACTGTCCCGTCTCCGACACTCTCGAGTAGCGAGTGAGTATGGGCTTACGAAATTCCTGTTTACATTTGGCTCAAACAGCTGCTAGAATATCTGCAGTTTTTAGACATTCCCTGGGTTAGGGCGGGTATCTGTTGCCCGAATGGGGAACTCCGAGGTCATGGTCACCGGTGGTTAGAGTTATGTCTGGGTGTCGCAAAGAGTGGCACCCATGCATCTACTCATGATTCCTGAACCCTCAGCTTGAATTTGCTCAACATTGCAACCTTCATTCCGCTCTTTTATTCCAATGGGCGACCAAAAGACATCAACCAAAACCGGCGCACGAAGTGCATAGTTAATGGTTGTGAATTGTGAGCCTTTTGAGACTTTTGATTTGGGCAGTCTGTGCAGGGTTCATCTAGTTTCTCCAGCTTTGCTGTTCACTGTCATCTTGTTTTCATCATAAGCATCGATCAAAAGCCATAAAACGTGTACAGTTTTCGAGTTCGTGGTTGAGGCTTTAACTGGGTATAACTGCAGTATCGATCAAAATCGGTATATGTATCAGTTCGTTGGAACTTTACGTTATTTTTAGGTAGGTCAATTACTGAGCCAAAAAACTGCTTCATCCCTTTCGAAACCCATTGTCCTTCGCGTACGTGTCCGGTGTATTCTGAATCCGATGCATCGCACCATGTAGATAGTTCAGTCTTTGTGGTGTCTGGGTTCCGGGGAAAATCCGGAGGCTAAATGTGCCGAACGTTCTAACATCACGAACTGGTTCAATATGCTCTTTGCTTCTAAATTTCTTGACCAGGGGAGCAATTTGCGTTTTCGATTATTTTTGAGCACACTATCGTTTTTATGTTCACTTTTTGATTAGTGGTTTACAGGGCCCTATTTTTACGCACGATTCGTTTCCGAGGGCATTATGGTGCATTTTTTGGTATACTCAAATACGACCTGATGTGTCCTGGGAGGGCCTTGACTTTTTGCTTAGGTCACTATTGGTTTCAAAGCCGGCCTGTTTCCATTTCTGTGGGTCACACGGCTTTCAGGCTGGGTCAGACGTTATGAGCATCTGGCACCCGAGTTAGCCGATGGGCATTGCCACATCGGAGAATGTTCGGCTGTGCTTGCTTCCTTCGGTTTATTACGTTGGTTTCGAATCTGGAATATCGCCGAACTGATCTTGATTCACTAACCGGTTTATTGTGAAGGATTTGATTTCATTCAAAGAATAGGCGAATGTTTGGAGTGTTGACGCTTAGTTGCGGATTGCAAATGAGCGATCATCGGCCACAGCCCGAGCAAAATACGAATCAATCATCATTCAAACTATTCACAAGTTACTNTAGTCATTTTACAGTGTCTTCGTCTCTAGGCCTTCACGCGAATTTCTCGCTGGAGCGATTTGTTGTGTGGATCGCGGTTGTATATTTTTGGATAGCCATCATATATAGGCCACAACACCCACGCAATTCGATGATATTTCGTTTCTTGCAATCACTTAGTTTGGCTTCCAAAACGTTTCGTGAATGTCATATCTTTCGTAAATTTCTCAGTTGTCACATCTTTTGCATGGGTTTGCATAGATTCCGTGTGCATAATAGGAGCCGGTTGAAACTCGCGGTCCATGTATCTAAGTGCAGAGATGCTGCGAAAAAATGTCTGCGGTGTTTTTAATCATTGGTCAACAATCGACATGTTAATGATGCCTATTCCATTCATTGACATAAAAACTTCGGTGTTCGTTATTTCAGGTTGATGTGATTCGCGCGTTGCAAGATCTTGTTGCTTCACGAACGGACGAATTTCCATCTCGAATCAATGCGGTCAAGAAAATATCTTCCCGCCTTGAGATGCGTGTTTCGCTGACAGGTGGAATGAAGGTGGTTCCTTCCTTCAGAGCATGGCGTGATTCATCAATCGTGTTCTGTGGAGAGTGTCAGGATAATATTGAGATCTCTGTTTTTCGTTCAGTAAAAGTTCTTTTCGGTCAGAGCTGTTGATTTTTCTTCGCTATCTAAACTCAGCATCACGATGCTCACGTGCAGTTGTTTCGGTTATCTACAACGGTGTTATTGTGAGTATTACAATAGTTTGAACAGATACACTATCCGCTCCAGTTTATTGAACGTGTTATGGTGTTCCAGCATACGTTGAAGACCGTTATTGAAGCTGTCGGGTGTGTAAGTGCAATGCGATAAAACCGAGGGTCATTGGAGTAGCTGCATGGGATGCTGGGAGAAGCCGCAAGTCAGTGTTGTGCCAAAAGACTGATGTTCCACGAGCGTATCATGAACTTCGAAGTTCCAAACAAAAATGAAAAATATCTTTTCTATCTATGGTGTACAACCAACTTCCAGGGAGGAGGCCTCGATCACAAGGCTATTTGGCAAAAAATCTGTCCTCACTGGGAGTAAACGCGACCCAGTTGAGGTTACGGAACCACATCCCAACACCCCATGGCAGATGCGATCAGGTAGCACTCCGTTTCATATACGTCATAGCGACACGTACCCGACAGATGGAAGTCTAAGTGTATGACCTGATGTGAGGGCTAATCAGGATTCGCGCCACAAGTGTGTGCGTCTGGGAGGAACCCCCCCACCCCAGGTGGCGAAATAGGCTTAAAGAAGAGAAAACGGTGTGGAAGCGCTTCATTGCCCTGCAAAGGCATGATTGTTACCTCCATTCCTTTGGAAACATCGCAATCAAGAGGGCTGCAAAATGATGTATGAATTACTCCTAGCATTGAATACGGAGACTTCTCAGTCATACTTCAGCTACGTACAATCGAAAGAAACCACGAGAGCAGCCGCATAAGCCCAATGACGGTGTCGTGAGAAAGTTCGATGTGACTGGCCTTTTATAACTGAGGCTAGGGATTACTTCCTACTGCCCTGCAGTTCGCTCTTGGTTGTATGTGCGTCTGGAGCCGGTTTATCCTTTCCAAGGAGCCAGCTTCATTTTAAACGACCATTGAGTATGCATTTCGGTGTGACGTTTTTGGTTTCTATCTTTTGGCTGCCCATT